TGTGGGAAGATAAGCGATGAACTTATTAACCTTCATATGGACCACACCAATCTTTGCACGCTAGCTAATAACAAAAGAAAGTCTAATAAGATCTTAGTGGCATTCCAGAAGAAGGATCAAAGGGAAGGCAGTAGCAGTAAGTGGAAGGGCGCATAAAATTGGATTAAAAAGGAAATGAGGCGTACAAGATCAACCAGAGCAGCGGCCTTCTGGTAAATGGATCCGTACACAACCGCATCTGATCGGCTGCTGAAAGCGCCTCCCCTTAACCGCCGGCCGCCGCCGCCGTTCTCTCCACTAAGCAGAGCGGTCTCCATCTTCCTTATGTATCTGACAAATCTGACTGTTACAACTGGATCAATGTATGAAAAAGCAGACACAAAGAAATATCCCAAATTGCAGGAGAACTGAACTGAGAAGACGACAAACACTAGCTTTTCTTTTTTCTTTTTTCTTTTTCTTCTTCAGGAAACTTTACTTTTAACCAAAAATCCAGTTTATCCGTTTTCCGTTAAATTCTGGCAGTGGCTGACTGGCTCACTGGCTCTCCAATCTACATTCTGGTTAGAAAAATGATACGGGTACACCAAAACCAAAGGTGTACCCCCTCCATCACCACAAAAAAAGGCAAGAAAATAAAAAAAATTAATTAAATAAAAATAAAATAAAATTATATGGTGGAGAAATGGGTGGGGGACAAATGGGGTACACCAAATGGTGTACCCGTAGCATTCCTCATGCTAGGGGTACACCTTTGGTGTACCTCATTTGTCCCCCACTACTTTCTCCACCACTCATTTTTACCCCATTTTTATTTATTTAATTTTGGGATATGCTAGGGGTACACCAAAAAGTGTACCCCAAATGTACACCACCCTCCTACTAACCATTCATTTTATTTTGTTTTTATTTTTAATTTTTTTAAAAAATTTCTTGTTTTTTTGTGTGGTGATGGAGGGGGTGGGGGATGTTTGCGGTACACTTTTGGTGTACCCCTAGCATTTTCCTTTAATTTTTTAAAAATATTTTGCCCATTTTTGTGGTAATGGAGGGGTGGGGGACAAATGGGGTACACCTTTTGGTGTACCCCTAGCATTTTTCTATATTCTACTCCGTACTTCCCATTGTGTGGAATCAGTGAATTACTGAATTAGCATCTGCTATTGGTTGATTCTCTTTACAAGAAAAATATGAACAAATATCATATTTGAGTCAATAACATTGCAATAATTCGGGTTTTATTGTTTTAATTTAATTGAAAATAGTGTTTGTTAACTTCTAACTAATGTGGTATTTAATTAAGAGTTAATGAATTAGGTTGTGTTCTGTTCGCCTGATCTAATCTAATCTAATTTTTTGAAATTCTGAGCTGATCTGATTGAATCTGATTTGAATGCGTCTCATCTGGTCTGATCTTGTCTAATCTGATCTGGTCTGATCTGATCTGATCTGATTATATCTGATATAAATTTGATTAAAATTAAAATTACAATTATAATTTTTATTATAATAGTTATAATAATAATAATAGAAATATTAATAATAATAATAATAATAATACTAATAGTAATAATAATAATTATTACTATAAGAATAGTAATAATAATAATAATAACTATAATAATAATAATAGAAATAATAATAATAATACCAATAATAATAAAAGAAACAACAACAACAACAACAACAACAACAATAATAATAATAGAAATATGGATAATAAAAAAACAATAATAGAAATAATAATAATAATAATAAATATAATAATATTATTAGTAATAATAATAGTAATAGAAATAATAATAATAATAATGAAATATAAATAATACTAGTAATAGTAATAGTAATAGTAATATTAGTAACAATGAATATAATACTAATAATAATAATCATCATCATCATCATATTTAAAGTAATAATAATATTAGTAGTAATAATTATAATAAAAATATTAATAATAATTATAGTCACAATAATAGTAATAGCTATAATAATAGTAATAGTAATAGTAATAGTAATAATAATAGAAATAATAATAGCAATTGTAATAATAGTAAAAATAATAAAAATAGTAATAGTAATAAAAGTAATAGTAATAATAAATGTAATAATAATAATAGTAATAATAATAATAATAATATTAAAAATAATAATAGTAATAATAATAGTAAAAATAATAATATTATTAATATTAATAGTAATAATAATAATAATAGTATTAGTAATTATAATCTTAATATTAATTGTAATAGTAGTAGTAGTAGTAGTAGGAATAATAATAATAATAATGGTAATAATAATAGTAAGAATAAAAATAATAATATTAATATTAATTTTTTTAGATCTGATCTTACCTAATTTGATTGGATCTGATCTAAACTAATCTAATCTAATCTGACCTGATCTGATCTGATTTGATTTTAATAAAAATAAGTAATGCTGCCTTAGTGTAGTATTTTTTTGAAAGGCATTTAGGGCCCGTTTGGTAAGTTTTAGAGATATGAAAAGATATGGGTTTTGAAATCGAAAAAAATGATAAGGGTTTTGATATCTGAAACAAAAATGTTTCGAGAAAAGAGAGACAAAATTATTACGATCTCTCTTATGCCCCATCCAATGTTATCTTTGACTTCCCTTCATACCAATGTTGCAAAGTTTATTTGTTTGGAAAGTGGGGTTATTGTGAGCGGAAATGTTGATAATCATACTTAGACTAGCAAAATCCGATGTTTGGTTCTTTTGTTAATAATGAAGATTATAAAATTGAAAAAACATAAGAAGATGAAGATGGACGATGAATCAAGAAGGAACAATTGGCGATCGGAAGCCTAATCTTCAGATGGACCATGGTGAGTTGGGATGCGAACACCGACTGTGGACGGCGGTAGTTCCTCGACGATGCCTATTGATAATTCAAGTGTTTAGATCTATTCAAAAATTTTGCCATTGGCTCAAATATGATATTTGTCATCGCTGCCACTAGAGCGATTCCACTGCCTCCACCTCGGAAATCAACCAAGATTTGTGAGATGATGCTTCAGCTTTGAACTGTACGCTAAAATCTCAAACCCATAATCTAAAATAAAAAATATCCAAAAAAAGGATGAAAAAAAGAGGAACATGATTGAAAAAAGAGAGACTATTTTGACTAGGAGAAAAACAAAGATGGAAGAAATATCTACAAAATTAATGTCAGTGAAAGTGCAGATTTGAGCATGCAACGGTAATGGAAGAGCATATCTGAGCAGTAGACCGGCCGCTAGGAAACCTGTGACTCTTGATTTGCGAAAGAGCTAGAAGAGGTTAAGGATGAAGGAAGAAGGAAGTAACTGTCGGAGAAGGAAAAAGACCGTAAAGGAGGAAGAAGGAAAGCAGAGGAGGAGGCGAAGAAAGAAAAAAATGAGAGAGGAAGAAGTTGGACAGTGGCGTGAGAAAGAAATGGAGGGTGAAATCGTCATTTTAGTATTTTTGCCAAAAAAGAAAACGGGAAGATAATTTTTGGACAACCTGAAAAGGATAGTGAGAAGATTATTTATGGACGGAGGGAGTATAACATTGTAATAGAGTTCTTACAAAACAAGATATTATACTAAAATTTAAAGAGGGATCCAAACCATATCCGGAGATATGCCCCATATCGTCTTGGAATCGGCATATGTTAGCCAATATCCAAAATTGAAATTGCCGATAAATATCCAATCTTGAGATTACTGTTGGTTTGATGCTGAAAAACGGAACATGTATGAATATGGAATTGGTTGCATCAGACGGTAGGCGGTACCGCCACGTCGGTAACGTGCTACCGTCACACGCTGTTTGGTTATATGGAGTACTACATACTCCCTTCGTCCCCAATTTGATTACTAATTGTGAATTACGATGCAAAATCTCTCACTTTTGAAAATCATTTTATTTATAAATTGGTACATCAATAAGAAATAAAAATTACATATTAAAAAACTACGTCAAAATTTCTACAAAATGAGTGGCGACAAAAATATTTTATTTTATTAAATACTCAATAAAAATATATAAATAAATAAAAATTGTCGAGAGAAGAGAGGAAAAATATTGTAATCTAGTTGAGGACGGATGAAGTATGTTAATTGAGTAAAAGAATTAGTGCTGAATTAACACGAATTAAATTTGTATTAGTGGAGTGGAGCAATTCAAAAAAATTAGGAGTAAAAGAGGTGGAAAACTTTGTACTTTGAATTAATGGAAGGGAGAAAATATAGGCCAATTCATAATTTTAGAAAACTAGAGTGACGATTGAACTACTGAAAGCATAATTGATATTAATCCACGTGTCAAATTTTGAGTGGAGGGGCATGCATGCCCATTGATTTTCAAGGGTACCGGTGAAAAACCTTTTTCCCAATTCATTACAATTGCTTCTTGGAAAAAATATCAAAATAAGAGTAAGGGGCTGTTTGGCAACTTCTGAATGGGTAAGTGCTGAACCAGTAAGAGGTCTGAATCATTAAGTGCTGAACCAGTAAGAGGTCTGAACCATTAAGAGCTAGTATATTGCTTAACTATTCAGAGGCAAATGTCTGATCAATTCAGATAACAACTCTTAACCATTCAGACTCTGTATAATACTTAACCATTCAGAGGCAAATCTCTTAACCATTCAGACATCTGAACCATTAAGAGGCTGAAACAAACAGTCTGAACCATTAAGTGCTGAATCATTCAGACATCTGAACCATTAAAAGGCTGAAACAAACAGGCCCTAAAACGTGGATAAAATACCAAAATAGGAGTTCCATATTTTAATCCCCAAAATAAGAGTTACAATACTAATAATGTCAACATATATTATCAAAACATATTGAGAAAAAATAATATACAATGCCACAATATCACAGTACAACCTTCTATTTCGCAGAGAAAAACATAGAACTTCTATTTTGAAGATAAGAGTTATGTTATTTGGGGTGATTTCTTTTTTCTTCTAATTCCTTCGAGTTTCTTCCAAAATTTTTCAGTTTTTTCGAATTCTTTCCAGTTTATTCCAACCTCTTTCAATTTCTTTCAACTCTTTCCGGACAGTTATTACAACATCCAACTATAAAATTTCAATAAAGAGGACATGTCTTTACGTTACAAAAAGAGTGCTATAAAATTCCATTACTCGAATCGACTTCTGAAAATAATATCTATGATCCCCCTACCTAGTCTGACAGAATGCTGTTGTTGGCCTCTCAAGTTCATATGTCCACAACAATGGAGCAGCATAAATGCTTCTGTAGTTCACATTCAAGCAACTCACATCCAGTTTTACATGATGTTACAATGGAGGAGACAATTCTCCGTTGAAGGTTCTTAAATTCACAGGCAAGCTTTACATCCCACGTCGCGTTAGACCTGCCAAGATAGAAATATTTGTGCTTAGGACGACCACAATTTTCTCTTTCTCCCAATCAAATATGTGGGAGGGTAAGGAACACTGCATACCCGCATTAAATGTTCAGTATATACGTGAAAAATGACCACAAACTTTACGAGTCGTGTATAACATGCTATTAGACCTGACAAAAATTGACTCGACTTCTTTCACCTGAGATTTGAGCCGAAAATAGTGAATTTTGATAAAAGGTATTGCTGACCAAGCATGAATTGGCCTGCTAAAAATGGGTCAAACTCGGCCGAAGACAAACCCCACCATACAAACCCGCCATGTTTTTTCCCCCAAAATTATGTACTATAATATGAAATAAAATACGAATGCTATTTAAAATTTGTATATTCCGTATTATTTATAATATTGTTGCATCAATCTAAAAACTATTTAAAATTCAAAATAAAATATATTATAATAGCTTTAATATATTGTAAATAATACGTAGTATATTTTGATATTTTATTGTACATTGTAGTATTTGAATACTAGAAGCCTTTTCGAATTTGGCGTTGTTCTAGTGTCCAAAAGTATTCGAATGCTAAACTCAGCATTCCAATACTACAAAAACAAAACTATTCGAATACTAAACACTTTTTCGTAAAGGTTGTTGGTGGTTAACACCTAGTATCGAATCGTATAACATAGCATTTAAATACTGTTATAATATTCAAATACTGGGTCTCCTTCACTAATTTGGATTCTAGACCCCCGACAAGGAACTCTGCCCCTTGGACCCCACCAGGGGTGTTGGACCCTCTACCCGGGGCTGCCACCCGCGGACTCTCACTATGAAATTTGTAATCTCATTGAACGAGTGTGTACTCCAATCCACACCCTCAAACTCGTATCAACGTCTATTAAAATTCCTGTCTAGCCTTAAGTAAATCCTATAGCATAAAACAACTAATGACACTAAAATCACTAGCAGACAAATTCTCCTTAGCACTTACATGTCATCCGCGTCCACATCCCCAAGTGATTCCATCATTACTTCAAAGGTCTGCAAAAGATCTCTAAGCATTTCGAGTTCAATTTTCAAGTTTTCTGGCATCTGCAAGTTAATAGGGCATGTTACAGTGATCAAATAAATTTCTCTGACTTTTGAATCAAAAGTAAGAGGACACTCACAGAATTCATGGGATTGGATGAAGGAAAAAAAAGTAAAAGAAAATCACCAGGGTGGTTTCTGTGAACAAAGGATTCCGGGCTTTGCGCATATGATCTAGTAATGGAAATGGCAATCCATAGTGGAAGATTTCATGGTTTTTTGAAAACCATGTACCCCTTACCATATGCGATGTCCACTCAGGTGCCAGCTCCCCATCCCCGTCGCCCTCATCCATGGCAGTGTCAATATCTGTGTTATAACACAAAGTATGTACATGGTGAAGCACTTAAACGCCAGATTCAAGAGTGCAAGAATGAAGAATAGAAAAACTTACCAAGAGGAATAACATCATACGGATTTACTAGCTGTGGTAAGAAACCATAGAAAGTAAGTAGATGAGAACTTGACAAATTTCCATAGCTTAAAAAACACTGCTCTCCCGTGCTGCATGGTCTTGATAAAGGAAAGTTTATGGTATTCGTGGTGGAATCTACCCTTCCATAGTGTAGAATGTGCGGAGATGTCTATGTAAAGAGAATGTAAATGACAAAGAATGTTACAGAGAAATACAGACTAACTTCTCTTCACTTTGAACTACAATATGTTATATGCAAAACACTGAACAACTCCAAGAGAAATAAAAGAGGGCAACACAGATTTCTACATAATGTTGCAATAAAAGAACGTAAAAAGAGAAAAGCTTTGCTTGAAAAAGATTATAAAACAAAGTGTATGCAAGTACAGGAATCATATTAAAGTAGACCAGACAAACAAGGCTTTCAAGGTTTCACCGTAATGCTTCTCAAATTCATAAATTTATTTTAATACTACGATTATGAGCGTAGCACAAATTAGTATCTCTAACTATTGTTAAAGTGATTGGAGGTACAATTAATCTAAGTAGTTTCTTTCTCCTCACATCACATTAGACTTATTCTATTACCTATAAGATGCTTAAATTACGCTGCCAGAAATTAAGGAATACTTCTAGAGCTCGAATTAAGCTTCAACTCTCATTTCTTCACATTAATTTTTACTTTTACGTAGACTTGTCCACCATTCCGAACTAATCCGGAACCGAACACACAGTTCTCAATTCTTTGAATATGGAAACTAGAATTGGAACCTTAAGTGTGTGGTTTAACTGGTTCTGGAACCGATGGTTTTGGTTTGGCTACCGCTGTTCAAGTTTTTTTTAATCGTTAATTTTATTTATATATTAATTTAATATTTAATTTGTTTGCAAATTTGATACTTCAACATAAGTAATAAAATTCTGATATGACAAAGTGATCTAATTATAACCAATCGCATATATTGAACGTTGTCTAAAAATGGTCGAGCATTGTGTAAGGAAGGTTCAATGTAGCAGACCTACTTTGATGATATTTTACACAAAGCTATCGGGCTATGTCGGCATTGAGGGGATAACGACAAAGCATTGTGTAGGGTACGATGTGCAAATTATGAAGGATACTTGGATTCAGTTTGAGGAGGCTGTGATGAAGATCAAGACTTTAGTTCATAAAATTTTATCTTGGTTATATCCTGATTTTTGTATTGATTTGATTGTATACTATTGTTGTTTGTGATTTTGTTTGTTGTTGATATGGCTTTGTAAAAAGACAGAGAGAGCTTAGGAAGGTGCAAAGGAGGTATTGTGATAGTCGTGTGTGTGAATGAGTTTTGAAGTGTAAATTATCCTAATATTTCAACAAATATGGAAGAATATGTCATGCCTAGTAAAATGACACAACTACCTGTTCTATTTTAATCCTTTAATGAAATTCATTTTCAAAAAATGTCGCATACATCAACCATCATTTAATTGTCAAATAAAAACCACTATTTTTTTAATAAAATTCATTTAGCATTGACCTGTAGGTCAACAAGACTTTGATTCCATGTCAAAGAACCAACTCAAACTAGCTTTACCAATGAAAAGTTTCATGCTCTTAACAATTACTCCCTCTGTCCAGATTTAGTTATTTATTTTCCAAAAAATCTCATTCTTTAAGAAATGAGTTTAAAATGTCAATTTTTTAGAACAGTTTAAAATGTCAATTAAGTCCTTAAAATGTGTTTGCCACTCATTAATGTCAACATTTCTTATACTATCTAGGATATTTTAGACATTTATCTTTGAATATGGAAAGTGGACAACTAATTCTGGATAAATGAAAACAAGAAAATGGACAACTAATCTGAACAGATGAAGTATAATATTGTATGGATGACAGAGGCAATTTAACATAGTTAGGTTTAGTAAATACACTAACCGAATGATTGAGAAATCCAGCGATAGGAATCAAGCACGTCCTTAGCATTCCATCACTAAACATAATCTTCATGCTATTAGAGTACCAAAGTTCACAGGCCCATAAAAACTTCTCCCAAGTGTAAAACTCGGGAGGAAATAAATCGGGATGATCATTGAACAATGCAGGAAACAACTCGTCATACTGTAAGCGCAAATGCTGCAGAAAGTACAATGATGGAACAATGAGATTTGGTGGCAAGAAGATGTTCAAAAGAATGAATTTATGTAATCCCAATGCTAAAACCTCAAGAAATGGCAGGGGACATTCGGTCTCTCTACCTTTTTTAGGTAGGAGTAATGTCTCAACATAGTTGAGACAAACAACTATGTTTTCACAAGCATTTAGAAGATACACTCCCAGACACTAGTTTAATCACCCAAACATGCAGGTTTAAAAATTATCCTTGAACATGTCATTCAACTGGGTTGTTGTAAGCATTTATAAGACCACAAATAACAACACAGTTCAAATAAAAGTTCATCTCCATCCTACTAGTTTAATCACCCAAACATGCAAGTTTAAAAATTATCCTTGAACATGTCATTCATATGGATATGAGTATCTATATCCATAGAATCATCATGGACACTAGACAAGTCAACACCATAGTCATGTTCAAGATAGTCATTATCATTTAGACCCAAGAGATAAGGCGACGTTAAATCAAGACATTTTAAAATTTGGCTTTCAAAATTTAAAAACTATCCACGACTGGACGCCTAGGCCTGAGGGGTAAGGCGACGTTAAGTCAAAACATTTTAAAATTTGGCTTTCAAAATTTAAAAACTGACCACGACTGGACGCCTAGGCCTGAGGTGAGGGTAAGGTGACGCCTAGGCGAGCGCCTCAATGCCTCGAAGGTTACTGGTTGAGGCGGACACATAAGGCGTCCACGGCATAGCGCCTTATCACCTAGGCGGAACCTTAACAACTATGATTACAAGAAAAACACAGCACAACAGTTTTAAAAAATATATACTTCCTAATTCTCAGCCATTTCTAAAAGAAAAATAGGTATCCATGATATAAATTGAGAAGAAAAAGAAAGTCCACCCACCCAGCAATCCAAAATAATTCACATGCAAACAAAGATGAATAAACAGGGGAAATTCTTTAAGGGAAGGTAGAGACCTCTTTTGCTTGCACTATCTCCTCTAATAGCAAGGTTCCATCTAACGCCATGATAGATTCAACCCCAAAACTCAAACCTATCATTTAAGAATTTGAAAAAACAAAAAGGTGAAGCTCAATTATTCAAGAAAACATGTCAATGAAGAGAAAAACTAGGGTCACATTACTGTGCACATAAATTTTTAGCATTATTTTGAATGTTTCGAAGAGGGCATCAAATTTTAAAATGCACTCACCCAACCCACTCGCAATGGTAAAGTATAACTGGTCATTAAAAAGAATATGCATTCAACTCTTTAATGTGCTTTTAAAGTGTTGAATGTATTTAAATAATTCTTCAGTTTTTACAAATTACAACTGAACAACTTTTCCTTATGTACCTTGTGGATGAATGTGGGTTGATGGGTAGAAAATGAAAGTTTAAACTACAGAGTTATATTCAATTATGTAAATAAAAAATAAAATGGCAAAAAACATTGATTTCTGTATCGAAATACTTTTGAATCAACACCAGTTTCAGTAATAGGTCAAAATAGAAATAGTAATATTTTATGCATGAAAAGAGACATTATACTTTCACAACAAAGCACTTGAGGAAACCATTGTAATTTTGTGTTTGAGAAATATACAGAAAAAAAGGTAAACCTGTATTGAATACTTCAGGCAGTGTATCGAAATATAACTTAAATTCCGAATTACAGTTGTGTTTCTCCTTCATGCTCCACAATAATAACATTGTTTCTGAGGACATCCCGTCCATTTCTTTCAAAATAGAATACTGTCCTAGAAGAGGAAGAAATTGTTAAAAATGTAGGACTGTGAAGTAATATCAATAATTTCACAACTAATCTCACTAATCCACCCGTAGTATCACTAGTATGTATTTAGAGAAACTGAAAGGGGTTGAAATTTTATAATACTATTGACTATTGAGTTACAATATAGATGTAATGTAAAGGAAACCATCTATTCTTTAACTAATCTAGCAACTAAGCATATCTTAGCCATTATAATTACGATGCAGTCTATTATTTCCTACAAATATCCCTCCGTCCAGCTTTAGTTGTCCACTATCTAAAAATCTCATTTTTAAGAAATGAGCTTAAGAGTTAAGATGTCAAATGAGTCCTTCAAATGAGTTTTTCGCCTATCTCTAGGAAATGTTAGACAGTTAATCATAATTTATTTATTGAAAATGGATAGATCACCAAATCCAAACAAAATGAAACAAAAAAGTGGGCAACTAAATCCTCGCGGAGGGAGTATTATTAAAGAGTTTTTAAATCTTTGAACTATTTTTACCAACTTTTTAGAGTGATAAACTATTGTTTTGTTTAAGAGTCTTCCTTGCTTAAAGAAGGTCAAAATATTCAAGTTTGATGCAAATTAAAAAATTGGCAAAACTGCTTCACGAGCAACACAATTATTGAAAAAGGCATTTACCATGTCAGATTCAGGAACAATATTTTCAGAAATGATGAGAGATATCGGAACCTCCAGTGCAACATCGCCAACTTTCAGATCTTGTGTTGCTATGGCCCCTCTTCCAGCTCCTTCAACATCTGACAGTTAAAGTTTGCAAGTATATCAGAACATTTTGATTTTTGAAATATTTTCATTTATTTGTAGAAAATGTCTTACGTTCCCTAAAAAGGAGGGGAAAGTGCCATTGGATATTCCATTGCATACTAATGTGCATGTGTCTACACATGCCAAATACTACCTCCGTCCAAGTGTATTCGTCCAGTTTGACTTTTTTTAGTCAAACTGGACGATTTTTTTTGAAAGATAATGTATTTTAAATAAAAATAATAATGTATTTTAGTATAAAAATTATTTCAATAAGTTTATCTTCTTGAGAACTATTGACATTTTGATTTCTTGTATAATTGTATTGATATGCAATACAAATTAAGAGTAATTGATGATTAAAGTTCGTCCTAACTCGAAAAATTCAAACTGGGCAAATACACTGGGACGGAGGGTGTACCATCTATTTCTTGTTTTTCTGGCTTATTTTGAAACACTCAGAAAGATGAAAGAATCATTTGTATGTGGCTTATCTCCCAGGGAAACACAATTTAGTACTCAAAGAACTTACAAGCAATCCTCAACTTTGACTTCACACCATTGCTTTCCCCCCACTGTAATAAAGAGTTCTCCTTTTCAATTCTTTTTTCTGCACAAATTTTAGTGTCCTCCCTGATTTTAAATGAGAATTCGCATAACAGATCAACAATTGCCTGGCGTAGATCTAGCAATGCAACTGCAGTAGCGTGTTCACTGTTAGGGCTTGCCTCATCAATGGCTGCGAGCACTGAACGCAGTGCCTCTAGTTCATTCCTTGAACTATTGAAGCCAACCAGATTATTAGGATTATCTCCACCAAAATAAAGCTCTAGCTGCACCTCAGAGTAACATTTGGATTAACGATATGCGGAGTACAATTTAGGAAGGAAATTACTATGCTTAAAGAAGCAGTTTTGAATAATACTCCATCAAAGACGCACCCAAGGAGGTGCAGGAGGAATACCTCATCTAAGTTTATGATTCTAGCTCGTTGAAGTATTACTGTTAAAGCAGATTTTAACTGATCAGCAGTAGCAAAACTTTGCAGGCAAACAGGACCTGATGGATTAAAACCTATGTCCTCCAGTAGTTTCTGAATAAACAAATAAATAACAGAAAAGGGAAGGCCTAAAGCAAACTTTGTACAGATAGAGTATGTGACATGTGAATGACAAAAAGAAAAGATAATACTTTGCATCAGGAACCCCAACCTTCTTTTTCTTGAACCAGAGGTCATTTGTCGGAAGCTCTAGATTCAATAGAATATTAGGGGCATCAGCCTGGGCAGCATCATTGGCTGAACACTGCAAGTTAACAAAGAAGTAAATTGGCATTAATTTAATATTAACAAAATATTGAATCCACTTTGTGTAAATTATGAAATTAATAAGTTGCCCCATGATATTTGAATAATAATCACTGTCAGTAAATGAGTAAGCGTAAATCTCACAATTACTCATAGGTTCCTTGCATGAATGTGTGTGTGTCTGTGTGATGCGCATTCTAGAAAAAGGACAATGAAAGACCACCATAAAGTTGTTCAAAATCCACAAGATAGATAAATCAAACAATAGAAACCAAAAAAGTCTCATTTACAAAGACAGTTTGACATCCTTTAAGAATCATGAAGCCTCATTTTTCATTACCCATTACTACATGGATAGGGAAAGCCTGGCTTGAAGTCCACTCTACATGAGTATAGAAGCATAACCATTTTGTTATTTATTCATTTTCATAAGAACAATCACGTGCGACCTTCCTCGCTTGTTACTTTATAAGAACAATCACACTTTTAACACATGACTGCTAATTTCTAGGAAACTCCATTATAAAAGGCCTAATAATTCTGCTTCACGGTCTGAAGACTACTTTATTTAAATGGCATCCGAACAAAACTCAAGCTTGACTCTTATAACAACCCAAAATATTTCACAAAATCTATCCTATATGGTTGTTTTCGGACGAGCAGAATGCATCAGAAACTGAGTCACAGTTCCACTCTTAAATGCTTGTCTTTGGTGACTTAGCCTTATGGCTAATAAATTTTCGTATTGTACAAACTGCAATCAGTGAATGCACTGAAAAAGTCATGATACTATCACCATCTGCTTCAATAGGCCCACTTCCTATTTTGGGATCCCCACAGTGTGAGCCTACCTTACTTATAACATTCATATTGTAGTTTTAGAATTAATATCATGTTTAGTCCCTAGACTATTCTTTTAATGCCAAATCCAGTCCTGTACATACTCAACTCAGTCTTGAACTATTGTTTTAATGCCACGTTAAGAACGACAACAAACCCAGTATTATCCAACTCAATTTAATCGTGAACTATTGTTTTACTACCATGTAAACAACGACAACAAAGCTAGCATAACCTAACTCTGTTGGGGTCTGGGAGTCAAAATGTACGCAACCTGAGTCCTGTAAAAAGTGAGAGGCTATTTCTATTAGACCCTGATGCAGTGTTGCATTTACTAGCAGAAACTATCTGTAAAAAAAGGGGTTAAATGTTTCATTTTGATTTAGTCCATTGTTTACCTTAATCTAAAACATTGTCAATAACAATTCTTTTGGTTCCATTATTCACTACCACGTTTAGTCCTTCCATCATGTAATTTTTACAGCCTTTGTCCAAAGTCAGCTTAGAAAAAACTATAGACATCTTATACCATTTTCAGTCAATTTATCAAAGGAGTTCGTTCAGAAATCAAATTCTTGTAGGTGTTTTCCTGATTTATACATTCATCACTTCAACATTAGTAAATCATTTTTTTGGTTCAGTACTGAAATTCATGATTGATTAACACAAAAATTCGGTGTTGGAGTATAGTCATAATAGTCAAGTGACTAAAGGGCACTAAAACAGTAATCTGGGACTAAATTGAGCAGTTTACTGAAACATTATTTTTACATAACTTGCAATTGAAACAAATTATTCAATACCTTATTACTTTTAAATCTAACGGATTATGAATTCCAATGCATAATTCGATGAAAACAACATAATTGTTTGAGTATAAATCTTTCGGTGGACTCAAACGGTCAAAGATTTTGGTTAAGTTGCTTCCTTGCCACGGTATCGGGACTAGTTGACCTAGAAGTTGTGAATTCGATTATCAACAACTCATGTTGATTTATGCACAATGTATGCATGGGACTTTGATGCATCTACGCTCCAAGCCTAGAAGACATTGTCTCCCATGATGACATGTTTTCCTAAGACTCAAACCATAAGTTGAAATTTTTTGGTCGAATTGGTTCCACTCCCATAGGGTACAATAGAAATAAGGTTGTAGGTTTTATGAAATAGCTATAGATTTCCATGCAAACTTATTTAGGGTCCGTTTGGTATAAGGAATTGATGGAATTGGAATTGAAATTCCATGAGATTCAATTCCATAGAATTGAATTCTGCCAATTCCAATTCATTTCTTGCACTATCAATTCCAAATCCACATAAATTTTGTGCTACCAAACATCAGAATTGAAATTGAAGCCCTCAATTCCAATTCCATAATTTGAATTCTGTGTACCAAACGGGGCCTTAAAGTATTTAAACATGTTTTGCAGATAAGTTAAATCTATTGTTTTATTGTAAATGGAGAGTCAGGACTTTTGAGCATAAGCCATTGTCAAAACAAAAATACGTTTTTGCGAAGGGAAGCAATATACAAATGATAATCGAATAGAAAGGAAAACAATTGAAGAACGTGTATAGAAGCTTAAGCGTTACCTTATCGATTTCCATTGAGCGGTGAAAGAAAAAGCGATGAAACGTTTAGAAGCAGTCAGCTGCAGTGAGGCACTCAACCAGTGCCCGCCTAACCACTTGTTCCTTTTTATTTTGTGCAATGCAACTATGCAAGTGTTTTTTGAACTTTTTTCGAAGTTCCAACCTCCACCTAGATACTCATTTTGGATTTTGGAGTAAGAGAACTAATTTTACATACTTATTAATTTTAATATATGTTCAGTTAGTCAAGCAATGCAACTTTCGACATTGAGCCGGGGGTCTCTTTGGAAACAACCTCTCTACTTTCGAATAGGGGTAAGGTATGCGTACACACACCCTCCCCAGACCCTACTCTTGTGGGATTTAACTGAGTTGTTGTTGTTGTTCAAAATATGTACATTGTAAGTACCTATTTGTTCTTTAGAAAACTACATAATACATATTACTTTTATACAGAGGAAAGACGTAGCTCAGCGGTTTGCATAAGAATGTCACAAGGAAAAGATACCGAGTTTGAAGTCTGGTGACTGTGATAAGGCGCAATCATGCAAAATATTGGGCTTCTGCAAGTACCACACATGGAACCTCACTCTTACGCGTTTAAGATTATAGCTCAATTTACATATTCTCAACTAACAGTCTCACCGGTGTTGAGTGACCCTCGGTGATGGGGTGTTGAGTGACCAGGTATATATTTACAAGTAACACAATGCATATTTTAACTAAAATAATAAAATATCCAAAATGAATATTTGATTACTAGCAATGACCATTCGTCATTATATGAGAAATACCAAACACTCAAATATACAATACACGTACACGTACACACACACACACACACACACACACATATAAGACTTCAATGTCTAAAAAAACGAAGTGTTACGTTTGTATTTTTGACATCTAATATGTCATTTAATTTGTGAAAAAGTAAATACTCCATAAGAAATTAATAGTTTAATGTGAAGTCATTGAATAAATTTAAATATATAACAAAAATCTTTGGTTTTATGAATATATTTTTTGTAACGCCCCAAAACACACCCTTAAAGTAATATTGAAATATTATTCAATTAAAAAATTTGTTTCTGATTCAAATAAATTATTGTTGGGCCTTGGACAAAATTTGAAAATATTTGATATTCAATATCATGACTTTGAATAAATCTCGTAGAGATAAATCCAATATACAGATTGAATGTGTGGTATTGATTAGAGACCAGAGTACATACCTAAACGAAGATTTGTTTGATTGATGTGGACTCTTGAATGATTTATTGAAATAAATCATTAGATTGAGTACTACAAATTGAATATGAGAATCTTTTGAATGAAAGATTAATTAGATCAATTTTGACTCTTTCAAAGTCAAACATCCAAAAATAAAGTATCAAAAAAGTATTTCAAATAAATATAAAAATTATATATTGTGTAGAGACTGACTATCTCATTACACAACTACAATCACATTTTAACTTGGAGAAAGTTGGACCAAAAAGTATAACCCAATTGGGACCATTTTAGTCCCAATCAGGGAAGAGTCGTGAGAATCAGGCTGAATAGCCATCCCTCCCACTAAGTAGAATGCGACAGCAATAAACCTTGGCTTCATCCTCCACCATCTCTCTATATAAGGACACTCAATCCTTCTCATTTCTTCACCAAAATATTCCATTCTTATTCCTTTATGTTCCTTGTTGTGTGGAGAGTGTTGTGGTGCTATCCAAAGAGCTTGAAGTTGCCAGTGATAGACTGGTGTTCGTCGGAAGTTTCGCTGCAAATTTTCCAAATCCCTCATTTAAACTCAAAGTAAGCCCTTAGATATATCTACTGATTGAAATGTTCATATAAATCGTTTTTTACGTTTATAAACGATCATTTGGTTGAGTTATGTGCTATAAAAATTAAAAATACATTTGTGATGAACCAAGAATTATAAACATTCAAATTGTTTTTAACGCTTCGAATTAATTGTTTGAAAATGGTTTATGGATGTTAGAAAACATTTTTATAAAGTTAAAATGAAGTTTAGAAGATCAAATTGGTGTTTTGGAAATTTGGACCGAGGTTGAAGACGACAGTGTACAAAACCCCTGCAGAAACGGTACCTGGATACCGCCCTGGCGGTACAGAGATAGCGCCCGGACGGTAGGCGATACCGTCGGTGACGGTAGCTAGCTACTGTCACAAGACAAATTCCTCTGGCGGTACCTGACACTGGATGGTTCCCTATACCATCTGGACGATACTAAGGTGCTGTGATAGTATCCTGGTACCGAGATAGGTACCTTCTGACCCGGGAATTTTTCCCACAAACCTAAATTTTGAGGTGTAAAATTCTATTTTTGATACAATTCAATTACAAATCAGTATGAATATCATTTACAAACTAAATATGATGTTATGATAAGTTTAAGAACCTTATTTGATACGTGACGGTAAGCTAGAGTATTAACACTTGACCTTAGGCTATTTGCTATTATATTATTGTGCATTGATGATTATTGAATATTGTAATAATAATGATGATTATACCATAATGAAATGATGTTGATGATGACTTTACCTTGATTGAATATCTACACATTGTTAACATGAATAAAATGGACTACATGATAAATGTAATAGGGATTATGATTGTTCAAAGTATAATTATATTTTTGTATGACTAAACGTGGATGATTGGAATTAGTGAATATTACTATGATGATGATTATGTTCTGAATAATTTAATGATGATGCTTTTGATTAATTATTTATTAAACTTATCTAGATGAACTTTAAGAATGACCCCACATGACCAATCTAGTTAGGTCTTGCAAGAATGATCTAGTTAGGTCTTGCAAGAATGACCCCACATGACCAATTCAGTTTTCTGACTTAAACTAATTATAGTTTAAGAGTCTGGTTATCTTTTTGCCTTAAACTAGTTATAGTTTAAGAATCTAGTTATTAATATAAATTTGCTTTAAACTAATTACAGTTTAAGAGTCTGGTTATCAATATTAATTTGCCTTAGAATAGATTAGTCTAAGAGTTTGGTTATTCATTTTGCCTTAAACTAGATTAGTCTAGGCGTCTAGTTATTCATTCTACCTTAGATTAAGAATAATCTTAGAGTCTTATTAATAATTTGGCCTTAAACTAGAAACAATTTCAGAATATTGTGGATAATATCATAAATGATATTTAATGAATATTGAATATTGAAATATCTTAACCTATGAGGGATCAAGAATCTTTGTTGTTAATCTGAAAGTGATATGTTGATTATGATATGAAATAAATGGATGAAACTCTTGTGTCCTGATGAAATGATAACGAATGGTTAAGCAAATACTAATTGTGTGACGATGAATGATTGAAATTGCCTCTTGCTTGCATGATACCATTTGATTATGAATTGAGGTTCAATTTATGTGGATGTTGGATGCATTAGATATCCTTACTCAGCTTCACTGCTGAGCGTGTAATATGTTTGATTTGCTACACTTAGGTGTGATTAATGTTAAAGATAGAATGCTCCCCGAGAAGCAGCAAGACGGATGAGATGTACGAATGTGGGCTCAAACTAGTGATCAATTAAATCGAATTCTGAACGAATGGATTTTGGTAATGATCAAATAATGATATTTGCTTTCGCACTATTATGAAGTCTCCGATAATGATTGATAACCTTTTGAAAAATATTTTCAACTACGTTATTTGTAATATAGTTTTTAAATTGTTGTTTCTAAAATACTATTTGTGGATACTGATTATGGTTATGCGGGTTATACAAGTTGGGGTGTTACATTTTTCAACTACATATACTATTTCTAAAATATTTTCAACTACGTTATTCGGGTTATGCAAGTTGGGGTGTTACATTTTTTCCTACTATTATCTTTTTTTCCATTTATAAAAAATTTTAAATAATAAACGTGATACTCTCTTTACCTCTGAATAAATTTCATACTTTCTTATGATACATTTGAATTAATGAAGTTCTTTTTTATTCTATTTAATTAAAAATTGGTTTAAAGTAAAGAACAATATTTTAAGAACTACAATTAAAAAAACAAGAGATGACTGGAGTATAAAAGTGTTAAAATAGAGAAAACATGTTATATATAAGTTGGTATTTCAAGTATATTGATTTTATTGTTTGACTTAATTACTAGATAATTTATGGTATATGTTGTTTAAATGTTTGTGATTTAATTTAAAAATATACTATTTATAAATATTTAATATGATATAATTAGTTTTATGATATTTTAAATAATATTATAGAATGCAATTGATTAAGATAAAATGTGTCACAATGACTTATTATGTTAACATTAAATTTTTTATGATTTCACGATTATCGAATAAGTTATTTATATATAAAAATTGGATCCCATAATAACTAAGAGAGTGATGCTTAACATGGATATTTTTTTTGTAAAAGACCACTTTTAATTCTACAAATGTAATAAAATCTATAAAATGAGCATAGATTTTACGTCCACAGAAGAATTTAGGTATCTAAGAAGCTGATATGCTGTGTTGCTTATGTGGCATTTTTGTCATCAAATATGTCACTCAATTTGTGACATCTAATATGTCACTTAACGTATGACATGATATATATACGAAAGCAATAGTTTGGTGTGAAAGCATGGAATAGATTTAATTGTGGAAGAAACATCTTTTTTTTATAATAATTTGTTTTCTTAATTTTATACTTTTCACTTCAATGACAATAATATTTTTAATGAATAAATAATTTTCACATCTAAATAAATTTCAAATTGTTTACGATATGCTGAAATGAAATTAATTTTTATTTCATTTAATTAAATATGAATGTAAAATTAAAAATTAAAAAAACATATTTTAAATCCTACATATGACCGTTATGAATCGTTGCAGAGCTTTGCCGTAAACATTATCATCTATAAAAATTAAGAATGTCAATTAATTATAATAAAGAATAAAATATGTGAGCGTATTAACGATGATATTGAAAAGTAGACGGAAAACAGAAAAAAAACAAATTTAAATATCTTTATTTCAATTATAAATGACCAATCATTAATCCAAGTTAACCAATTGGATGACGTGTGACGAATTTGATGTACAAA